ATTACATATTTCGATTATTACTAAGTGATTTCAGTCAAAAATTTTCAATCAAAAATTATTGGTCAGACCTTGATCAAATTTATATGGGACAATATGAAAATAACTTAAGTTAAAAGAGTTAATGTTTCTGAAATGATAAGGAAATAGCTAACAAATTCCTAAAGGGATCATCCGAAGGATGGATGGAAACATAATGTAAGATAGTTTAATTTATTATTTGTATCAGACAACTGTAATTGAAGTAACAAAGATCACAAACCAACTGAGGTCTCTGCTGATAAAACTTCATTTTCATTTTTCTAGGCGTAATATATTGAGGTCAATCGATAGAACAATAAATTAATTATATTATAACTTAGTAGAGACTAATAGGAACTAAACTAAGAAAGTTTTTAAAAACTCCTAATAATTAAAAATTAAAAATTATAAGGAGATTAAAAGCAAATTTATGTTGCAGAAGTGAACGGCAGGGTCGGGAAGGGACGCCCTAGACGAAGGTTTATCTACCAAATCGGCGATACATTAAAAATTGGCCAGATTAGGAGTACCCTTAACCGACGAGCGTGTATGCGTAGATATATGGATGTAAAAGAGGCGAGAGAGGTGTGTCAGGATCGCGCCAAATGGAAGTCCGTAGTCTCTGCCTACCCCTCTGGGTGACAGGCGTGAGTGTTTAAGGTTATGGTAAAAATTTTGTATAACCGACTTCAACATAAATTATTAAGAATAACTCATAAACTATTGGTCAGACCTTGATCAAATTTATATGGGACTACATGAGTAGCGCCAGCTTTTAAATTAAAAAGAATCATTGAAATCGGTTCACCCAGAAAAAGTTTTGAGGTAACACACATTAAAAAAAAAACATACAGTCGAATTGAATTCCGTCTCCTTTTTTAAGTTGGGAGAAAATACAATCGATTAATTTGGAGGAATCATGACCGTTAATCGCAAGTGAAGCCGAGTTGCTATCGCGAGCGAGGTACGCAATTACATTAAAATCGTATTATCTACTTACTCAGAGCTTAAACATGTTATCTAATTCTACTTCGTGAATTTTTATAATTTTAATCATAATTTATTTCACCATTTGCATATGCTAGGGTCACCATGCATACGGGCTTCTTCGGATTTATCCTACTTTGCAGAGCGTTCAGGTAAACGTTCTGAAATGTATCTGGTCCCAGAAAAATCCAAAAACTTGAATTGACATTAAAACCACACTATAATTTTTTTTAAGTTACCTCTTAAAAATGTAAACATTTTAGCAAAAAATAATTACAATTAGATTTTCGATTTTTCTTACTGCAGCTTACAATTGTTAAGCAAACCTGTTTAATTTTGTTTTATAGGATAAGGGTGACAAACGAGCACATGGTCCACCTGATAGTAAGTGGTTGGTTTGACGAACCAAAATGCAGATGCGTTGTCACCCGTGAAGACTAAGTTGGAATGCCTCGTTTCCAGTAAAATGGGTCTCCGGTTCTCTACACTTACCATACGAAACACAGCAGCGTTAAGCTGCTATTTTATGCTGGTATTCTGTGAGAGCGTGGTCCTTCCCCGGCAGAGCCGACCCATTCGTGCTACAACCATAATATAGCTGTAGCATACTTCTACCACGTCTAAAAATATTTATTGCTTAAATATTTACAATATTTTTTAAACTATTTACAGGTATTAATCCGTAGGACGCCCCTAAATGGGCCAACATAAAAAAGTACTTATACTTTTTAATGGGGAAAACGATGTTAAATACTAAAATTTGTTCTTTTAAAAGAGAATTCATCTCCGCAATGGCTTCGATCGTGTCACAATCACACATCAATCATGTTAAGCCAGTTATTAAATATCTTGACCGGCAACAGGAATCAGATAAAAATATGTGACATACCTGGTACTGGGAACGTCATTCCACTTGCCAACCGTGACTCTCAAGCAAATCTTCCTTACGATAAGAGAGGTCCATGTTCAACAGCGAAATTCGGCTGATGAAGTAGAAGAAGAAGTCTTTAAATAAAAGTGCAGAGACCTTTATTTTACACGATATTCAAATAAGGCACTCTTTGCCTTTTTAATGAAATTGTTTATTTCACGCTTAACTAAAAATCAAAATAAAGGGTTTGCCAATAGGGACAGGTCGATGTTGACAGGCTGTGGCGGCCATGTTGTTTTGGCAACATCTGTCAAATCTATTGTTTATTATTTCATTACTGATGCTAACTCATCATGGCAAGTAACACGATTGAGCAATTCGTCCACACTATAAAACTTTATTGTCAATATGAGTGCTCGTTAGTTCAAACATTGCGCGCGTTACGCCCAGTTTACAGCAGATGTAGTGGCCCACCATAGTTGATTCTGCAACGTCTGGTAATTTTGAAATGACCGGTTTGGTAAATAATCAGTTAACACCAGTACGTCAATCAGCCGAGAAGAACAGTTATCCGTGAAGGTGTGCAAGAAAACCCGAGGCATTCAATTCCACGACGTGCACAAGAATTCGACCGTTCATAGATCTTAACTTGGCGCATTTTGCGTCGGAACCTGAACCTGCACCATACAAAATCCAACTAACCCTTAAATTTAAAGTTAATAACCGCAAACAACGACGTTTTTTCGCTAACTAAGCTTCAGAGCATTTGTAAAAAGACCCAAATTTCTGCTCAAAATCATATTTAGTGATAAGACGCATTTTTGGATGAATGGCTACGTTAAAAAGCAATACTGCCGTATATGAGGCAAATCCAATCCACATAAGATTCACAATATTACAATACATTCACAAAAAGTTAATGTTCGGTGCGGATTTTGGGCCATTGATCATTGATCATATATCGTTGATTCGTACGTTTTCGAAAACGACGTCGGTGAAGCCATAACTGTAAACGGCGAGCACTACAGATCGATGATGTACCAATTTCTTTTGACCCACACTATACAGTTTAGACGTGGACGATCTGTAGTTCAGCAGGGCGACGCTATATGCCATACAGCGAACGCCAAAATGGAAATTCTACATGAATTATTTGAGGGTAGGGTGATTTCTCTCAGAGATAACGTTAATTGGATACCAAGGTCGTGTATTTTGACCCCTTCGGACTTTTTTGGGGATTTTCTAAAATCTCAGGTCCATGCCAATAACCCTCAATCGACTGATGTCCTCAAATTCTACATAACCCAGGCCATCGCTAAAATTCAGCCAGATTTATGCGGCGAATTCATTGAAAATCGTACCTCACGAATCCGGTTCACAGTGAGAAGCCGCGGTGGACATGTGGACGATGTTATATTTCATAGTTATTGGCATTCATGGAGTTTTAAAAGAAATTGTTAATACCTCACGCACTGCTTGTTTTATTCCTATTCAACATCGGCTCGCTCTGATTGGAAAACAATTATAATATTTTTGTTATACAAAATAATAGTAGAGTTGAGATGTTGATTTTTTTTTTATAGGATAAGGGTGACAAACGAGCACACAGTCCATCTGATGGTAAGTGGTTGCTACGGCCCATAGACATCTACAACTATCCTCGTTTGCGAATCAAAATGCAGATGCGTTGTCACCCGTGAGAACTAAGATGGAATGCCTCATTTCCAGTAAAAAGGGCCTCCGACCACCTGCACTCACCAATCGAAACGCAGAGGTAAGCCTCTACTTCACGCTGGTATTCTGTGAGGTCGTGGTACCACCCCGGTTTGAGCCGGCCCATCCGTGCGGCAGCAAAATCTGCCGCGTGGCTCTACTACTGTTAAAAATGATGTTGTTGATGACGATAATAATGTAGTGGTGGCCTTGTTATTCGGTACATTTACGTTGTGACGGAATAAGAGTGCTACCACATCACATCTTCTCAGTTTGGAATACTTAATTTCGGTGATTAATACATGCTAGTCTACAAGGCCAAGTGTAAAAAGTCGATGTGACCTCTCATATCGATTTGTCCGTAATGGCGGTTAATAATGCATAACACAGTCGGAGTGATTCCGATGAGAACGATGCCCCTAAGTAAGTGCTTCAGCACTGTAGTAAGTATTGATTTAAATCTGCGGTGAGGCGATACGAAAACAAGTTTGACTGGCGAAGCGGAGTAAACACTCTATAACCCCCAAAAACTGAAGGTAGCCGGGCTAACTGTGACATCGGGATGTCAAACACCTCAGTCCCCCCTCCCCCCATGACCACGGGTCCTGTAAAGCACCCAAAACGTCGGGCATGAAAAAGTTAAATTAAACGTGATAAAATCCGTAAAAATTAGGTTCCTTTAATGGATAAGTCGCTAAAATAGTTCTTTGGGCAGATCGCCTCAAGTCAAGATTGGTACTAGGAATAAAATAGGGCAAATATTCCTTAAATTTCTAATTTCTAAGCTAAATGATATTTTCACATTAAAATTAACAATGCACAGTTTTTACTGATAATTATAATATATTATAATAAAACACCATTCGGTGTGTAAACACCTTAATAAAAGTGATAACAAGTATGATACTGAAAAACTCATGACAGCGAAAAAATGTAAATATATAATGGGTTGATACAATCGTTCGGCGTAGTAGTCTTCATTGTGCACTGAAGTGTTAGTGTTTTTTAAATAATCAAAAATGATTTTCAAGCTGTTAATTGTATTCGGAGCTCTTTGTGCAATCTATTATTTAAAAAGATTATATAATGAATTTTACTGGAAAAAACGTGGTGTGAAGTTTTATCAAAAAGGTAAAGTCATTGGTCCTTTGGGTATATTCTTAACAACAAAACAGGCGTTATTTGAAATATTTATAGACATTCATAAAATGTATCCGAAGAGCCAGCAGTTGGAGTTGGTTCAATATTAAATCCTGCTCTGTATGTTAAGGATCCAACAAATGTGCAGCATGTCTTAAGTTTAGATTTTAACTCATTTTATCACAGAGGTTTTGATGTGAATGAAAATGATCTACTTGCCAATAACATCCTTTTTTTGAATGGGAGTAAATGGAAATTGATACGCCAAACCATGACACCCCTTTTTACGTCATCAAAACTAAAGAGTATGTATTACATAATAGATCGCAGTGCTCAAGATTTCGTTGAATATTTAAATAATAATCAAGAAAAATTAAAAGGTGACATGTTTAATACATTATCTACATTTAGTAGTGCTGCTATTGGAGCTGCTGTGTTTGGAATTGGAACTGAGTCAATATTTAATTCACCCTTCCTTAAAATGGCTCAAAATGCTATGACACCTACGTTTTCACAAAATATTAAGTTTGTGATATCCGCATTTAATGGAACTTTATACAAACTTTTGGGAATTAAACTATGTAAACAACACGAGGAATTTTTCATTGGTGCTGTAAAGCAAGTTATCCGCCAAAGAGAACAAGAAAAAATAAGGAGGCATGACTTTGCAGACCTATGCGTAAATATACAAAATAATGGTGTCTTGAAAGACCCTGACAGTGGCTTGGAAATATATCCAACGGATGAAATATTGGCAGCGCAAGCGTTCTTCTTCTTCATTGCTGGTGTTGAACCTAGTGCGGCCGCTATGCAAGCAACATTGATAGAATTAGGACGCAATCCTGACGCTCTAAAACGTGTTCATGATGAAATTGACAGCGCGTTTAAGAAACATAACAACACAATAACATATGACATCATTCAAGAAATGGAATATCTTGAAATGTCATTAAATGAGTCAATGAGAATTCATCCCTCGGTTGGATATTTAACTAGAGAATGCGTTCGTGATACCGTATTACCAGTTGGAAATATCAAAGTTGAAAAGGGTACCAAAATATTTACTCCTCTTTATGAATTTCATCACGATTCAAACATATTTCAAGATCCCCAAGTTTTTAAGCCGGAGAGATTTTCCCGCAAAAATCGGAGTACAATAGCAGACAATGTGTTTATGCCATTTGGTAAAGGCAACAGACTTTGTGTTGGTACAAGATATGCCACATTGCAAGTGAAAGCAGGGTTAGTTCACTTATTACGAAACTTCACGGTCAAGACAGAAATAGGCGAAGGAGGAATTAAGTACAAAAAGCATCATACACAAGTACGGCCATACAATGTAAGGATCGAACTATTTCCTAGAAATAAGGAAAGGATTGAATAGATCTAGAATTATAGTTTTATAGTTTTAGGAAGTCAATAACAAGGGTTTAGAGGTGACTTGTAAAATCTTATTATTTTATTATTTTCATGTATGATTCATTACTGTAATAATAAAAAGTAAATAAAAATAAATTAAAAACAAAATAAAATCAATTTATTTCAGACTGAGTCCATACGAGTAATATTTACACAATAATAAATTTTATGTTAATTTTTAAGAAAATAAACCTTTTTTATTTTTTCCTATAAAATAAGATATTTGTGGATAGATGAGAAGGAAGAGGATACAATAAAAAAGTTGAAGGAAATATTTTAATTAATATTTTTTGTGTTTGTTTCTATCTTTCTTTTTTTTGTAATTAATTAATAAGCAAAGTTTTCTGTGAAAGTATAAAGGTGAATTAAAGTCATATTCTTTCTAAGTTCTACTGTTGGCAAGCCTCCACTCACTTCTGAGTGTCTTATGAAGCAGTTATTCACGCTGATCCTCTGCTTGTTGGTGCAATTTATACATCACGAGTGGTATGAAATTAACGCGCTAGACAATAGGCTTTAACCAATATATTTTTGTATTTATATAAAAAGCGAAGTACTTAGCAGTCTATATGTACGAGCATCTATGTTCCTCTGCTTGGTACAAGATTCCACTGGTTTTCTAAGGGATTTTTAATTTTTCAGACATGCGGGTTTTCTAACGATGTTTTCCTTTGCCGCCAAGTTCTAGGAATAAACGAATAGGATAGAGATAATTTATTTTTAATTGTTTATATCTTGACTAATTCGAGGATATTTAGATGAGTACAAGCTTATAAAAACCATTAGCCAACAGGTCACGGCCTATTAGTTATTTTTATTATTTTTTGTTTTTCTCCAAAGCTCGAATAATAATTTTTAGCCGCTATTATTTAAATACATTTATAAATAATTTTAAAGCAAATAAAAAACTAACAAAACTTGAGTTATTTCCGTTTTACTGTAGCAGCGGTAGGAATTAAAAAGTGTACTCTATTTTCTCTTCACAATACAAATTGGAAATCAGATTAAATTTTAAAATTTAAATGGAGCTGAAGTCGATAGAGCAATTTTAATGAGTCTGCTCAATTGATTTTGTATAAATATTAAATAAGAAGTATTTTTATTAATGCTTAATTTACCTCAATTTAACAGACTGTAAACAATTCAAGTCGGGGATTGACGAACCAGAAAGATTTATTATTTGCTCCACACTGGTCAAACAGAATGGACCGAGCGCCTTGAATTTTACCGTTCTAAATATTTTCAAGTCTGACATTTGTTAATCTGGTTATATTGTTAAGACAATGTCAAGTCAAATGAAAATGAAAATGCAAAGTCAATGCGTGGTACCAGACATCCCCCAGATAATCACGTAAATTTTTCTAATATTCTCCTTGACGTATCTCTATAAAGGCAGCAATTTTGTGGCATTAATAATTTTCTTAATCATGGATAGTAGTGTTTATGGGTTACTTTCTTTTAAGTGAGGTGTGTACTTGATACACTGATACTATTTTGGAATAAACAAAATGTAAGCACTCCCTCACAATTGTGGGTTTGGTTTGAGTTACCACATGATAGTAACTAAATTTTAGAACGTAATGAATGCCGTAACAATACTAACAGGCGTCTGAATGACTATTAATTATTATATCGACGGGTGCTTCTCAGGGTCTAGTTCATGGTCCCTTTCTGTTCTTAGTTTATATTAATGATTCACCTATGGTAGGGACTTTGTAGGGAATAATCATGATATAGTATTATTTGCTGATGATATTTCGTGTATTTTCTGACTAAAAGGGCAATTATTGAAATATAACGAAGTGAATAATGCTATATCAAAAGTAGTAGACTGGTTTAACGTTAGTAATTTGCTTTTGAACGTAATAATACGAAATGTATTGTTTTGTTTATTGCAGTTGACGCGAAGCATCAAGGGGGCCCTCCTATATCTAAGCTAGCTAGCAAAAAAAGTTTATTTTAATTATTTCTGTAGAATAATTTCATATGGGTTCTTCCTATGGCGTAATGAAACTGACATTGAAACTGGATTTGTTTTGCAAAAGAGAGACATAAGAGCAATTTACAACCTTGGTCCTTAGGAATCCCTTAGAGAAAAAATTTAAAGAAATAAATATATTAACTTCTCTAACTAATTAGTCTCTCAATATATTTACGAGAATTTAATGTATATACACAAAAACTGACATAGTTTTATTAAAAACAGTGATGCACATTCTGTAAATACTAGGAACAAGAACAAGTTAGTTACACCAGTTACTCCGAAGAGTCAGTAACTCCTTTTAGGGGCTATGTATACGCTTTTACAACAAAGTCCCAGAAAATGTTCACATCTTTTCTATCAAATTTCTAATTACAATTATTAAAATATTATGATTGATAGGTAGGTATTTATAAAGATTAATACTTTATTGCAAATTCTTCATATATACCTAGTCAGGTCATAAGTATAGTTACACAGTAAAAACTTTTCTTTTAGAATGCTGGCCACAAAAAAGTTTATTGAATTCGAATTTCGAATTGTTAATGAAAATAAAACTGCATAATTTTTAGAATTTTACTCATTTTTAAATATGGAGTGGACGCTTAAAGAAGACCGTGTTGCAGTTATTGCGTTGCATCGTTGCGGTTACGCGCCAATTCAAATTTTTGACATACTGAAAAATTTGAATATAACCAAAGTATTCCTTTATCGTACCATCAATCGATACAATGAAGACTAGTTTAGATGACAGGTCAAGAAGTTGTCGCCCTCGGTCTGTTAGGACTCCAGCAGTGATAAAAGCTGTGAAGGCGCGAATTCAAAGAAATCCCAAACGTAAGCAGAAACTGTTGGCCTTTCAGATGGGGTTAAGCAGAACAACGGTGAAAAGGGTGTTAAATGAAGACTTAGGGCTTCGGGCATATCGAAGAAAAACAGGACGTCGTTTGAATGCTCGTCTAATGGACCTGAGACTGAAGAGATGCCGCGCTTTGTTGAAGCGGTACGCGGGAAAAAAATATCGGGAAATTCTTTTTCGGATGAAAAAATTTTTACCGTAGAAGAGAGCTACAACAAACAAAATGATAAGGTGTACGCACACAGTAGTGAAGAAGCGAGCAACCGTATTCCGCGTGTCCAACGAGGTCATTTTCCATCCTCGCTCATGGTATGATTGGGAGTTTCTTATTGGGGCTTAACAGAGGTACATTTTTGTGAGAAAGGTGGAAAAACGAATGCAGTTGTGTATCAAAATACAGTCCTGACGAACCTTGTGGAACCTGTTTCTCATACCATGTTCAATAACAGGCACTGGGTATTCCAACAAGATTCGGCGCCAGCTCATAGAGCGAAGAGCACACAAGACTGGCTGGCGGCGCGTGAAATCGACTTCATCCGGCACGAAGACTGGCCCTCCTCCAGTCCAGATTTGAATCTGTTAGATTACAAGATATGGCAACACTTGGAGGAAAAGGCGTGCTCAAAGCCTCATCCCAATTTGAAGTCACTCAAGACATCCTTGATTAAGGCAGCCGCCGATATTGACATGGACTTCGTTCTTGCTGCGATAGACGACTGGCCGCGCAGATTGAAGGCCTGTATTCAAAATCACGGAGGTCATTTTGAATAAACTTTAGTGTCATAAGAATCTATGTTTTGTTAAGTTCATTTTGGTATATAAATGGTTACATAATGAATAAACTTGTTTCAATTATTTTATATTAAACATGTGACAGAATTTATGACCTGACTAGGTATAATATAACATTTGTTAAAAATTACATTGATTTGTGTAAGAACTTAAATTTTTCTTCTTAGGTTTCCCATACAATCAATTAATTAAATACCTGAATAGATCACTTTTGTCATTTTATAAGTAGTAAATGAAAAGCAATAGATTACAATCTTTGTTGTCTTTTTGATTTATCGAACCCAATGCGGAAAGGAACCTTATTATAAAAACAAACCTGAAAATTAAAAAAAGGAAAATTCCAGCAGAAATTCGCAGAGTACATCCGAATAAGGTATCGGCTGAAATAATTGTCACCTAATGCCGCGATATTTTCAAAATTGTTGCAACATATAAATTGCAACAAAATTCTAACCAAATATATACTTAAATAATTTTCAATAGGTATATTATGAAATTATCAGTTACTTGACTCCACAGAATCAGTAAGTCATTCATGGGACAATGAATACACTATTATAACAAATGCCAGAAAATATAATGTTTCTCTATAAGCAGTTTTAATTTTTTATAAAATAATAAAGACTGTATTATAAGTGTTATTATAAGATAAATGAATACATTGTTGATAATAACCAATGGAAATATCATGATCACTGTCTTGTGAGTAGAAAATTAAAAAAATTACTGGAAAGATTTCTTTAAAACTTATATTAAATTAAAAAAAAATCATGACATGACACATTGTATTGTAGAACCGTGCTGCTGCTGTATAATAGCCAAAAATGAATGGATTCACGAAAAACCATATATTAGTAGGATTAAACAAGAGCACAAAGGTAATATGTTTGATAAGTTGAGTGTCAAGAAGCGGAAATGCTTTTTTCTAATGAATATTTATTGCATCGTAGTCGTTGAGTATGACAATGCATCTGTATTTTGTTTCTTTATCCGAGGAGGTATGTGTTTTGTGGGCCACTTTATCATACCTCTGAGGACTAAGATGGAATGTTAATTTATTTATTTTATTTAACAGTTTATGTACATACATAATTCGATAGGACAATGGCAAAAACATAATTATGTACAAAGGCACTGCGTATTCCATGATGAAATTTCTTCCAGCAGGCCTATTGAAGGATAGTTGAAAGAAATAGAGGTAGTCAAAGTGTGCACTTACATAAATATACATATATACTACAACTCTATATATATAAAAGTAAATAATATATATTATAAAAAAATATATAGGTACTTCATTATATATTTTTAATGTTACATATATGCATACCAA